GACAAGTACCTCCCCTTACAGGCGGACGAGACTCGGGCCTTTGTGGCGCGTTTTCCTGACAAAGTTTACACTCTACTGCCAAAGGCGAGGAAAATTCGCAACAAGCTCCGACAAGACGGGGGAACACACTCAGCAGCGGGGGAGTCTACCTCGCAGGGGGACAACTCTGGACATGGCCCCGGAGATGCCCTTCTACAGCAGACGGAGGAGACCGACCACGCCGCGACAAAGCATGTGACAACAGAGACCTCGAGGGGGGGCAGCTCCCAGTCAAGTGCAGCACTTCAAGGCGAGCTACCACAACCAGCGGAGAGAGCAGACCACAACGAAGCCCATCATGCGAGAATGGTGTGCAGGGGGAGTGCACTTCCAGATGAGGACACCCCACCAGACTGGGGGGATGACGAGCAAACAGACGACGACCCAACCCACGACAGTTGGCCGTGGGGGGAATCTGGAAGACCCTCCGACCAAGGACGCAGTGAAGGCATTTTGGGGCAAAAGCCCAATGAGCCAGAGGGCGCACCACGAGATGGGGGAATACGACTTCTACCAAACCGCATGTGGCAAGCGGTCCGTGCAGTGCAAAGCCACATGGAACGCTCCCGACAACACCGGGGGAACAGCGACGAAGGAGGCTTTTCCTCCTAACTGCAACGGGGGAGAAGACCCCTGATGCCAACTCCGAGCGTGGCTGCAAAAGTCCCTGGGGTACGCGCTGACTTCTGAGGGTGCCTAGGGGGATTTTCCACTTTTTCGGACAATCTGAGTGCATGCGAGTTCTTGGTGTGAAATCTTTAAACAAGCATGTCGTCGTGCTTTCTCAGGTAAACCTCACAACAACCGGCCCAACCTGGCCCATGAATCCTAGTGTCTTTTTAACACACCTGTACATCTGTTCCGACTTTGGAGGGGAATTCAAGAGGCAACCCGAGGCCCAAATTCGCTTCGATCCAACAGTGAAAGTACGTAGATCTCGCCACAAACGGCGGGGGGAGCACGCTTTTGCCTGGGAACCTCTGAACACTCCCTCAAGCCAGCCACTTATTCGCATGGTTAGTCTTCTGCATATTTGTTTCGTTTTCATGCTTCTGCTTGGGGGAGTATCTCGTACACCCGAACACGGCAAGACCGAGTCCTTTTAGTCGGAGCCTTAGTTTGTCGCTGCTTTTACTCAGCCGTTGCCGAAAGCCGGGGGAATCTTGTGTACAGCCAAGCCCTATGCAGCATACCTGTATGGGGGACCAATCCGCGCAATGAACCGCGGTTGCGCGCTCGCGCGCGAGGGGAGGGCCTGGACGCTGCCCGACCCTCATGGCCGGTAGAGAGAGAGAGAGAGAGAGAGAGAGAGAGCGAGAGAGTCTCCACCTGGTAGAGAGAAAGAGAGAGAGAAAGAGAGAGAGAGCGAGAGCACTAAGCCTTGTACGTAGGTTGGTACGTGTAGCCTCTCCCCGAAAGCCCCGGAACACTGGGGGGCCCTATGGGCCGGGGAGCTTGACGCGCTCCCTTAACCTGAAGGAAGAAGAAGCACTAAGCCTTCATGCCCGGTAGAGAAAAAAGAGAGAGGGAGAGAGAGAGAGAGAGAGAAAAAAAGAGAGCACTAAGCCTTCAGAGCGGGTGCTACCTTGTGCAGTCCACAATGGCCTCCTGACCTCTTTCGTCCTTTCCCCTTATTTGTAAGCATCTTGCTGTAGCCTGGCGACTGTGCCGCCCATGAAACCCTCGTGAGAATTTCCTGCTACCGTCCGCTTTTCAGACTTCTCTCCTACACGCCTGACTGCATACCATGTCACCTGAGTCTTCCACCTGGGTGCTTGTCATGTTGAGTCTACCTTCTGGCGCTGCCTGATGCATGAAGTAACAGTGTGACATCATGGTAGCAAGTCCAGCAAACACTCTGGCAACCGACGCGCGAGATTTGCTTCCTTACCGTCTTTCATGTTGTAGTAGGGTACTGTCCGCGTGATTTTGGATTGACATGGATTGACGGAGAACAGTAGTCGCTGTTTAAACGGTACCCGGAAAAATTGATAGTTTTGTATCTATTCGAATCGTGATGGTTCAGAGGTGTTCCCTTACCCTGGCGGAAGACATGCACCTTCCACCAGGCTCAGAAGAAGAATGAGCCGTGGTGCGAAAGATGGCACTTGGGATCGAACACAAGACAGTATGTGCACGACTGCGCGAACCTCCGGACTGCGCACTGTTCCAGCAGCTGCTCGTCAAATGCTAGTGCAGGCGGCAGAGAGGGACCGAGAGCGAGGAGCACGAGGCATGTTTGTTCGCTTCTGCGTACAAGCACTAACGGCGGACAAGACGGGTCGTGCGTAGCTATCCCGGAGCACCGGCCGGAAGGAAGCTTGCGTTGCCAGCAAAAGTCGGAGGCGCGAAAGGCCGACAAACAAAGGAGCACCTGCCTAGACGACCACCTGGCAGACATGTTGGGGTTTGAAAAGCCAAGCAGGTGGCGGCACCCGACACACCCCCAATACCCAGCGGATCCGCCGAGCACAACAGCTGTTGCAGGACAACTGCGAGGCTCAGCAGCGTGCAGCACATGATCGCAACCACTGCGGCACCACCATCACGCAAGCAACACGGAGAAGGAGCCCAAACCCGGGGAAGGGCGACAAAACTGGCGTCCACTTTGCGAACCACGCGACCCATCACCTGACACAAGTGGGGGAGCCGGGAGCCCTCCACCAGCAAATGCAGAAGTGATGCATCGGCCTTGGTCGGCAGTCCAGGGGTGCGCGCTCACGGGGAAAATCGGGGTCAGACCGCAATGTGGATCCCACTAAGCTGCGAACCGAGACGTGGAACACCCACCGAAGCTTCAGCGACACGAGCGAACAGCAAACAAAGGGTGCGTCTCCCTGCAGAGAGTTGCCCCCTTTCCTGATCCGAAAAGTTGTGGCGGCTGTTGAGGCGTTGCCACTGTCATTTTTCCGGCTTTCGTTTCCGATCCGTATGACTTATTGCTAGGACCTGTTCTTGACAGCAAACTGTGCAATAGCTTTCAAGGCTTCTCCAGGCCAGCCTGCACCTGCCGCCTGCCGTGTTTGCGGTGCCAGCACCTTCCGCCTCCTAGCAAGCATAGCATCCAGGAATTGTGGCTGATACGAATCCCAAGTTGCAATGGAAGCCAAGGCTATAACCTCTTCTGAATTCGAAGGAGCATTTCCAGTAAGCTTCGCTGGCCCAGTGTAGAGAGCAAAGAGGTGCTAAGGCGCACCCGGATCTGGGAGGGACGCTTGGTGAAAGCATTGCGTGTAGTATGGCACCTTGAGGCCTGCCGCTTGCCGCCTGCTGCCATTTCTAATTCGAAAGGTGCTCCAGGAGACCGCAGCTCAGAGGGCTCCGAAGCGATCCAAGCCTCCAAGGGGTTTCTGCTCGAATGCGACCTCATGGCGATGTCGCCACGCTGCCTGGAGTCTTCTGCTCCGGTGCCACCACGTCGGGCCTTGCTCCTGCTGCCCAGAAGGTGCCTTCATGAGAATTCCACACCAGCCTTTGCATGGCTGCCTGCTTAACCCACTAACGCTCACCCGAGGCGTCCACCGTTAGAGGGTGCTGTTCTGGCGGCGGCATTTTGGCTTCACTACAACAACATCTCACTTGTGTTGCGATGTTGACATCATTCATGTGTGATGTTGCAAACATGCAGAAGTTTGTATTTGTGTCGCTGAGATCGTAGCGGCAGCTCCACCGCTTCTCCGAGCTCGGCAATGTTTGACACAGACTTTCAAATCAAAGAGTGCCTTTTTTGCAGCATTGCCTTTAGCAGCCTTTTGAGGGAGAGTCATTGAATTTTCCAGTTTTTTTGCATAGCTGAGGATGCAAGGAACTTCCGCTTGGGGCGGCCTGCCTGGTGCTGTCTTCGGGTTCGGGTCACGCAGAGGCGCGCCTTCTCTCCAACATAGAGCCGATGCCCCGCACGTTCTGGGCCCCGAGCGCGGGCCGGTGTAGGTCGGGAGAAGGCTGGGCCGCATCCACGACATCCTCCAGGAAGCGGAGCAACTGCTGGGAGGCTCGGAAGAGGCCGGACAAAAGGGACCCAGAGCCGGAGGGTTCCGCAGCAAACACCCCGTGGCGGTCCCGTGCTGTGCGAAGGCGGAGATGGAGGCGCTCCAGCTCAGCCAGCACCTGAGGACTGCCCCCCCAGCACCCTGCGTCCGCAGTGGGGAGAAGCCGCAGAGGAGCTGCAGGGACGACCCCGGCCGACTGGGGCCCGGTGTGGGGCGCCTCAGCCGGGAGCTCAGTGCTTTGCTTCAACTCTTGGCTTCGACTTCTTCGGCTCACAGGTGCCTGGCTGAAAGAAAGTGCGTCGCAGGGTCGCCGCTTTCTGGGTGGAGACAGGCACAAACTCCCGACACGTTAGACTTAGAACCGTAACGGTAGCAATCGCGGCCATGAAAGCTGTGTAGAGCACAATCGAATCAAAGCCATGCCCTCAGTCTTGGATAAACCCGCTGTTGAACGTTTGTGTCCGCCCAGAGGCTTCTGCTCTTGTCAGGAAGTCATTGCGCGCATTACATGGCATCACCATGTAGTCACCCGATTCTGAGCTGCACCAGAAACATCGATGTGCCAGGCTGTCTTTGCGCAGCGACGTTGCCCTCGTCGGTGCACTGCTCACATCTCGCAGCTACGTTGGCAGACAGCAGTCTTTGGCGAAAGAACACAAGTTGCGTCAGTGTATCGACCGCGCAGTGTCCCATTTCCCCAAGGCTCCTGGTGTCGCCGCCTGGCTGGTGCTTCACTGCAGAAGCTGCAAGCTGCGAAACAGCCTTTGAAAGGCCCATGAGTATCATGATGGGACGCGTTTGGAGTCTTGTGTGGCCTCGCGAGGGACTGACTTGGTCCTGCAATGGATGCTGACGGTCTTGAATGAAGAGCCGTGCCAGCAGGTGGCTCTGGGGTGCAGGTGTCATTGGGTTCTGCGGGCATCTGCGGGCTTTGCCAACGGAGGCATTGAAAGCGGCACGTGACTTGGAAACCTCTTGGCCCTCGTTGCACGACGAGGCGAGGTCCGAGAGGTCCGAGAGGTCCGAGAGTCCAGGCCTCCCTTGTCTGAACAGGTTTCTACTGCCGTGATAGGCAGTGCAGGAAAGCAGAATACTCTACCTGAGCTCATCCATCAGTTGTGCAACCACCAACACTGCTGGTTGTTCCGTGTGCTGGTGTGCCCGACCTTTTGCGAGCCTACATACCCATGGCCTACATCACCCCATGTCTGGCACAGCGCAGGGGTGCCTTGTGCAAAGACTGGATTAACTATTGAGTGCAGAGCTTCGTTTGAATCACTGGTCTTCCCGCTGTGAGTGAGAATTGCACTGAGCTTGATGTGCCGGTTGCAGCTGGATGTCGGCACTGCTTGAAAGGTTTTGTGTGGCCGCAGGTGCTTGGACGTGATGCAACGGTGAATACTGAGCTCGCGTGCGTTGGCTGTCATGTGGTGTTCCGAACTCCTTCTGCACAAACGCTCAGTGGGACTCCTTGTGCAAATGTCTCAAGTTGCCTTGATGAGGCATGCGACTCAGTAGGACGGAAGCCAAATGAAGCTAAGCTGGTGCAGTTCATGTAGCCTGGGCGGAGCGCTTGCATCGACACATGTGCTAGCCCCTATCATATCGGTCTCCGGAACGTTCGCAAAACGTCAGATATGAAAAATGAATGGCAGCAGGTGCAAACGCGTGACTTCAGCAGTTGTTGCCGTTCCTTTGGTGTTCTTTCGTCCTGCCTGCACAACAGATTCATGATGCATCGCAGTCGATTTGTTCCTTCACACCAGGTCGTCCACAAGTCTCCGTCTTTGTCTCAGCCAAGCTGGACCTACTGTCGGGCTGATTGTTGATGCGAACGCTTCCGGAATTGGTCCTGACTTTTTCGCCATCGTTGAAGGGCTACGCCCGCGCCTGTTGCTCTTGCCGAGACGCCCCTTGTGGGTCCCACTGCAGAGGCTTCATCAGCACCAGCGCTCGTGCCTGGCAGCGAGTCTGATCGACAGGTCCTTCCCCCCGAGCTTTGCGACTTCCTCCGTTCCCTTGAAGTGCCAGAGCCGCTCTGCGCACAGGACGTCCGAAGCGTCTAAGACAAGAAGAGGAGGGGAGGGGGCGGGACCGTGACAGGAGCTGCTCTCGGCCAAGGAGAGGGAAGAGCTGGAAGAGGACAAAGCGGCCGCCCGCGGCGCCCAGTAAAGAGAAGGATGAACGTTAAACGGATCTGTGAGGAGCAGAGGCAGGCGGAGCTCGCCCCACAGCTGCACAACTGCTGCACAACTGCAGCCCGTTGCTGCTTTGAGCCTTTGAGCTGTGCACCTCAGGCCGGCATTCCCCTCATAAAGGCCGTGCAGCATGGGGACGTTGAGGCAAGACGACTCCGAAAGCTTCCTTTCGCCGGCTTGACCGCGCGAGGCAGTTCGCAGCCTCCTAGAATCGGGTGTGCCTCTTCAGCTGCAAAGATCTTTGCCACAGCTTTGCCCTTCGCACTTCGTGGTCTCAGATGGGACCTGTGAGGAGTGTGGATGCAAAGTTTCGGACCAAGCACCACGAAGTGCGGCTGGAGAGACTTGGCACGCCTGTGCGGCACTGCTCATGGAGCCGGAACCGAGCGTCAGGAGCACATCGCCTGTGCAGTGGGCGTGTCTCGTCCTGCATGTCGCCAACACGACGACGACCACCCTGCCAAGCTCATAGTTGGGGGCTGAGACCGCCTCCAGAGCCCGCTCGGTAGCCTATGCCGAGTGTTGCCGGAGGCTCGAGACCTGAATCTTCAACTCTTTCCGGATCGGGATCCCGGCATGGAAGCAAAAGGCATCGAGATCTTGCGTGCCTTTGCCTGCAGTGTGCAGCCCGTTTTTGCTTGATTCGAGTCTTTCGAGCATGCGCCATTCTCAACCTGAGGATTGCTCGTCGAGTACCGAGGATCGCTGGAGGCCTTGGATCATTGGTCTTCATGGGTCTTTGGTTTTGTTCACTGCCCGGCCACTTGAGGCATGGTGCCTAGCTTCTTTGCGAGGCCTTGGACTCCGACGGCGGGACGCCGGCGTTTTATGCGGCCATGGCAGGTACCGAAGCTCCAGAGAGGGACAGAGAGCCAGAGAGCGAGCCGGTGTCACTCTGACCTAGGGCGTGTGCTTGTCTGCTTTTCTTGTCTGTGCTGACGAAGCCCCTGTCTGTGAGAGGGAGGGAGTGACAAGGTGTGATGGTGGTGCCGTTGTCTCAGGAAATGTGCGCTGCTTTGAGCACATGCTGCAGGCAGGAGGTGAGAAGGTCTTTCACCACCAGGACTCTTTGTGCAAACGTTTTGCGGCCTTGCAGGCAATAAAAGTCTGAGTCTTTCTCATGCGGTTGTTCGATGTTGTTGGTTAGAGGCGCAAGGCGGTCAGCAACCCATTCTTACACTGCATCTTTGGATTCCAAAAGGCACCCTCTCCTACGTTCCCAGCAGCCGGAGTCCCGTTGGGGTCATGAACCGATGCCAGTTGCGATTTTCCGGCACGACATCTGCAGACATGGAGCTGCAGAGGATTATTTGGACCGATATCCACTCTACTGGGCAACATCAAACGACCAGCCGGCCGCGGTCCAGTGGTTATTGCAGCACACTTGCTTGCCCGTGGTGCGAATCTCAGTTGTGTGGGGTTTGTAAACAGCTCGGAAGCTTTACCACCTGCAGCTTTTTGCACTTACATGGCGAGATATTATCACATGGCTATGAATGATGTTGCACGACTTCGCAATCGCCTTTATCAGAACTCGTACAGCTGCTGAGGATGCACGCAGCCGGCACGGGCGAACTGCACTGGCGAAGGCTTTCTCGTCGACGCCTCTCACATTGGGGACCTGAGGTCTGTGCCTGTTCAGGCTGCTTGGTCAGACTCCCCGGACATCGCTGCGCCGATGCTGCAAGTTGCAAGTGAGTGTGTTCTGTGGAAGTCAGCCTTGTGCTCGATTTGATCCATGGCTGGGAGGCGATGCTGCTGGAGAAGCATGCGGATCCGCGAATCGTCGACGACCATGAGCGCACAGCCACTCTCTCACGCACAGATGCCGTGTTGCAACAGTCGTAGCACGTTGCAGGGCTGCGTCAGGGTGCAGCTCATGGGCCCATGCCTTTCCGAGGTTCTACACATGGCATCTTGGGGTGCTTGGGGTGGTCGCCGTGGTGGAAAATTTGTGAACGGCCCCTCGGCATCTGATGATTGTATGGCCGCTTGAGCTCGAGAGATGCCTTTTGTCAGAGGCCGCGCTGCAGGGGCCAGCCCCAGATGCGTGCGGCTGATCCTGACAACAGAGGAGGTGTTGACAGCTGCTTTTTGGGATGGGTGTTGCTCTGAACTGATGGGCTTCGGCACCTGACACGTCATCATTCTTTGTCCAGTCTTCAGTGTTGATTCTGCCTCTTTGGTGTCAGGGGCGCCTTTGCATGCACTCTGCCGACCGCGATGGGGGGACGCCGATTGCCATCGCATCAGCAACGGGTGCACTGGATGCGCTCGAGGATGCGATGCAGGGCTGCAAAAGGGGTTAAGAGCACCACTGTCTCGCCTTCTGTGTCATGCCAACCAAAGCATTACGGAAGTGGTTGAGCATAGCATCTGCACTTCAGGAGCTGCTGCGTTGCCCAGAAGGACTCAGGTGGGGGACTCGTGTTGTGCATTGTGGGCAGCATCGCTGCACTGCGCAGAGACCGTTTTGCTGGTCTGCCTCTTCCCACAATTCTCCATGTTGCGTGGCTTGCAGGCAGGTCCGGGATCCTCCACCGGAGCTGCAGGAGACCGCAGCCAGGGAGCAGCCTTGACAGGATTGAAGGCTCTTCCCGCGAACTTAGCAGCTAGGTTCAAGGACGTTTGTATTGCGGTATTCACGAACAAACTGCAAGCTTGAGCCTGTCCGGCCCAGTAGATCCAAGCATGAGTGTGACCTGCGCCGTTGAGGACTTTCTGCCTTTTGCAGCGGCAGCTTTCCGTGGCCATGTCGACTGTGCCTTATCATTGAATGTAGCAGGATGCTGACAGGCGGACGACCGCATTCGCTAGCACACGGCATTGAAATTGCATCATCCGGAGGCATGCAGATGCTGCTGGATGCTCGGGCGATGCCGGAGCTTCGCGCAAAGAGCACTGGCAGGCACCAAACCGGAATGCAAGCAGCCACATGATGACACGGCTTTGCAAGACTTTGCCCATCAGTCTGTAACTCTCGTATCAAGGGTAGTGATGGAGGCTTTTGCTAGCGTGCGGTCCGTGTTTTCGAAAGTTCTCGGATGCCGCAGCGTCCGGGAAGCGCTCGAAGCGGAAGGTCTTTTGGTGTTGAGCTTGGGTTTGGTGTGGTTCTCGCCTTCTCGCGGCACTTGGTCGCCTCTGGCGATCAGGTCTGCCATGGACTTCGCCGTGATCGGACAGGAGTCATATGAATCCTGCTGCGTCCTCTGGGGGTTGTATGCGATGGCAGTTCCCCTTGAGTGGAAAAGTCGCTTTCCTTCAACGGGACGGTGAAGTCGGCTTCCCTTGTCAGTACACTCTAGGAATTTCGTGCAGAGGAGCTGCCCACTGCCGAGCTCTTGGTCGCTTGGCGGCAATGTCTTATCTGAGCTTAGCCATTTTCCGGATCGTCGGGCGACATTTCGAGGCAAACCAGCTGCTGCCGGGTGCCGGCACAACTGCGATCTTTGCAACAGCTCTGACCTGGGCTGTGCACACTGGAGTGCCAGGTGGGGCGAGAATCTGCAGCCACTTGGAAGTAGGCCTACAACTACAGCCAGCAATCCGATGCGATGCTCCAAAATCGGGAGAGAACATGGAAGGGTTTCTTTCATTTCTGCACGAAGTATGCGGGATATCGGGGGCGACATCTAGATCCTTTGCGACCCTTTTCCAACTGGAGTCGTGCGGGGCAGTTGGCAGATGGGCGCTGCAGCATTAGTAGAGGCTTCTGAACAGAGTTCGACATGTGGATGTGCCTGATGGCGATGGGATTCAAGTTCAAGGTTTTCTTCCGTGAGGCATGATTCGACTGCTTGCTCAGCGTTGTCCGGAGGCCTTGCAGAGTCAGGAGCCTCGAAGCCCGCACTTGAATGAAGGGCTCGAAGGAATGGATCTTCGGAGGCTACCAGAAGCGAATCCTGAACAAGGCTAGGGGCTAGGGCTAGGGCTATGGGCCGCAGGCAGGTCCGGCTTCGAACCAAGTCGTTGGCAGCCTTCGAGCACAGATGCTCAGATCATAAGATGAAGATGTTTTGACTGGTTTCGCGTCGCGCTCTCGCCATCTCTATTATCCCTTAGGAGACAGCAGGGACACCACCTCGACTAAATCCGAAACGACTTTCAACACTGGCGTCTGCGAGCTGTTCGAGAAACGCAACCAAGAACACAAAACACGACTGACCCGGCATAGTGAAACATGCAAGAAAGTCGGAAGTAAGGAGTCTCCACTTTGTACATGTTGATGTCGCACGCAGGACTTTATCCACCTGGTCTTGATGCACGGGCCAAGCAGCCGTGCCGAGGCTTGGAAATTCGGCCGGGCCGTGCCCAAGGACGTAATCTTACAGTCGTAACGAGCATTTGGTGACAGCTGAACTGGTTGGCCTGTTAGTGTTTCTGATTGCAGTGGTGTTCTTCGCGAGCCTTGACCCTTCCAAGTGTTGTGGCATTCGCCGCTGTGTGTTGTGGTTTGGGTCGTCTTGCGGCTCGATTGCCCTGTCGAGGTCACGTGACCGCCCTTCCCGGCCAATGCCGAGCAGCACCCAGCACCACCTCCACGTCCCAGGAGACGACGAAGAGTTGAGCTCAAATTGCCGTGGCGAGTAGTCCGACACAGCCCGTCACGAGGCAGTCGGCGCTGCGCCGAGGAGCGGGGATTCTGCTTGGACCTTCGTAGTTTTATCCCATTGACCTGTTCCTTTCGTACCTGAATGCCATGCCACAGGCTCTTGGAAATCATAAACGAAGCTACTGCTGTCGATGGAAGGATCGTTAGGTGTCTGAAACCCGAGGCTGCGCATCTTGTGGCAAGCTTCTGGCAAGACAAAGTGCGTCGTCTGCAGGACATCTCAAGCCGTTCAGTTCGGTTTCCATCGCATGCTGTGCCTCGGTGGCACTGCGACAGTGATGTTTTCGACGCCGCGAAGCGGGGAGCGCCCTCTCGAAAGTTGCTGGCGGCCCAAGGCCAAGCCCTTCTAGGGGCAAAGGCTGAGGTGACCGAGTCAACGCTGACCAGTGTTCTGAGGACCGGCAGCTTAGAACACGTATGCCTTGTGCTTAGCTTAGCTCGGGGCTTCTCGGAGGCGTGGACTGGGCCGCTCAGAGTCGGAGCAGCCGCTGCTCGACGCACTGCTCAGCGCCTACACGAGGCCGGGCCAGCTTGAGCTGCGAGAGCGCTCTGCGCTCCGCAGCAAGCTGGCCTGGCCGCTGGTTGCAGCGGCAGCGGCCGATAGCCCTGCTGCTGTCGCCCAGTTGAGATCTGGATGTTGCAGGTATGTCGGCGATTGTTGGTGTGTGTTTCCTTTATGTTGTGTCTCTGTCAAGAACTTCAGGTGTCACTCCTACTTGCATCGAAGGCAGATCCTGCTGGTGCAGGCTTTTCGGCAGCCATGACAGCATACTGTCGTCGTAGGTCGTCGTGCGTTGAGTGCTTGCGGATCCTTGCACACCCTTGCACTGCACCTTGCACAGATGGCTTCGCTTTCACCGCAGCTGCCGACTCTGAAGAGTGCCTCGCCCTGCTGCTCGAGGCCGGTGTCCTGGAATGTTTTTCCACGGACCCCTGCTCAATCAAATCTCGCAGGCCTATGAGGGAGTGCCACGATGTCCGAGAACGCTGGACCCCGGACGAAATTGACTCAAACCTTGGGGCTGTTGAGTTGGGCATCTGCTCAGAAACAATCATACTCAGAAGCAGTAAGGCTGGTGCGAATGCCGCCCAGCCAGCATAAGGTTGTGACACACCCTCGTCTGCAGCTGCTCCCAAGGATGCGAATGAAGAGGACAAAGTCAGCCTTCTGGAGGCAGCAAGTTGGGTACGTCGGCTCCTGTGGATCCTGTGGCATCCTGTGCAGGTTGCTGCGGTCAAAGGAAATGCCCAGTGCCGCGCCTAGAACTCGAGGGTCACAGAGCTCATAGGTCTCTCAGAGCTGGAGGTGTGTGGCCCTGCTCCTGCATGGTGATGAGCTGGCGGCATCGGCAGCAGCTGCAGCGGCTCAGCGAGCTGAGCACTTCGATGCTGGCTGCAGACAGGGAAGGTTGAGCGATGCCAGGTGCAACAGGCATGCATACAAGTGGACAACCAGTCCCCCTTGGCTGCAGAATGCTCTAAAAAGCGCATGGCCATAAAGGTCTTGGGTCACCACGCCGCCTTGCAAAATGGGGTACTCGGCTTCATCTGCAAGGCATCATGATGGCACAGCCAACCCCGACGTCATTTTTCTGCGTCCATGCTTTCATTGACGTCATATTGGGGCGGTTCCTGCGCTGCCCAGGCCACACACTTGTAAATCACATGCGTCATATGAGCTGTTGCCATTGGCCAGCCAAAGCCGACAGACTCACCGAACATGACAGAATTGGGTGTGGTGCAGTGCAGTGCAGAATCTCAGACAAACCGGTTTTGCGACGAGGACGAGGACAGGAAACCTCACAGAACAACGCTTCCACGTCGTTTTTCGTTCGGGTTTCAGTGTTGCGAAGGCAGCGCTGGAGATGCTAGATTTACAGCAGTCTTTCGCGATGTTCCGCGGCTGTCTCAGGACATCTCTCGTTGGCTTCAATCTGCAGAGGGCGTAAACAGCATGGCACCTTGGTGAAAGGTGGGTCAGGAGCAACCTGCGATGTTGTGTGCAGTCGGAGGCTGTTTAAAGTGGTCGCTACAGCTGTTCACAGGGCTTATATGGGGTGCATGTCGACATAAAAGCTGCTAGTACGCTCATGCAGGGCTGGATAGTTTCTCGTTGTGTCATAACGTGTGACATGTTTTCGAGGTCCTGGGCTTCAGCACCTCAACGTGTGACAGATCTGCAAGGACTGCAAGGACAAGCGACGATCTTTCCGAAGGCCAGCCGTAGTTCCTTCATTTGAACCATATTCGAAAGAGCATTTGTTCATGGTTTGAGAAAATGCAAATGGTTGCAACCGCAGCCTGTGACAGTTTTGGCAGGCTAGGACCTCGAAGTAAGCATTGAGTTCACACACACACACACACGCACACATGCCCAAAGAATGTATTCACAATAGCAGCAGAGAGATGATAAATGAAGAGCAACAGCCATGCGATTGAGACCGGTGATCTGTACGTTGCTGTGACGCTAAGGGTGGTGATGAAGGTGACGATCACAACTCCACTTCGGTAGTGGGGCCTGCGGAGGGGAGGCCGGTGGCAGCGAGGACGCCAATGACAACGCCGACGACGTCCCGCGACATCATGACGATGATGATGATGATGATGGTGACGATTCTCGCATGATGCTGATGCTCATGTAGACGAACGGCAACATCATGTCAATGCGCCAGCTTTGAACATCCAGCAACTCCTACACCCGCTAGCTAGACGTATTGATGGACGATGGCTTCGCATGTCGCAACATGCAGGAGCCGCCCACAATGATCGAAGCACCTTCCCAACTCGAAGGAAGCCGCCCGAACAAGCACTGCTGCTACAAGAAAGGAGCGCAGCTGCTGTCCTGGCAATCCTTGCTGAAACCTGCAGATGCTGTGATGCGCTCCTGTTGCTGGATAGAGCGGCTCGGCTGCACTTCGGTGCTGAAGCCGTCGGGAGATCGTTTGTCCTTGCGACACACGCCCAAGTCGCCTGCTCGTTCTTTTGTCCTCACTGGGTGCTATCTCGAAGCCTCTCCCGTTGCTTGGGTCGATCCAGCCTTTCAGCTGCTTCGCATTGAAAAACTGGATGCCAACCGGATGCCAACCGTTGAGCCGTCGATGGAGTTCAGTGCCAATTTCCCTGCGCCAGAAGCTTCTGGCGGTGCCATACCAAGTTCACACTTTACGCAGCTCATGGTATCTGTCGGTGCCAGGCCCCTCAAGTCGACCGTACTGGTAGTTTCGAGTGCTGTAGTTGCCACAAGAAGCTTGTTTGCTTTCTTCTTCCCTTGCTTCCAAGCAAAGGAGCTTGGCTGATGCGAGACAAGCTTTGCGCTCGCTGGAGGTGCTTTGCAGTTCCAGCTCCCTAAGAAGTTAAGCTTTGCGTTCAGAGAGAGTTGGCGCAACGCGAGACCGCAACGTTGGCCGCTTGTGTGAGGAGGACCTGTCTGAGTTGGCCATCCTCGGAGTTGACCTGGAGTGTGGCATGGAAGATTTTTGGACTGTCCTCTCCCTCTCCTTTCGTGCCCTGGTGCTGCCTTCTTTGCCTTTCAGGCTACGGTGACGTGGTTTGTACACTGCAGATGGCGACAGTGAAAGGGACGGTCGTCCTGGACGCGTTGAGACTTCATGGCCACATTGCCGAGCTTGTGAGCAGTATTTTCTTGGACGGATCCGTCATCAAGCTCTTCCATGCGCCCAGAAACGATATGCGCTGGCTTTGGAGTAACTTCGGCGTCCAAGTAGTATCTCGGCGAGAGAATGCGAGTGTGATTCTAAGGACTTGTTGCCCAGGTGTGATCATCGATGTTAGTTGTGTTTTCCTCTTCAGAAGGGAGCAGACAGGCGATCAGGTCGGATCGGCAAGCAGCACCCGCCGCAGGCGCCTTGAGCACTCGAGATAAAAGGATCGGTAGGTCCGTGTGCGGCTTCGGCATTACATGGCAGCGGAGCCCCGGTGACGACTGGGGACTCGTGCTGAGGTGCTGCTTGGCCCGGGCGACGGCCCGGCTGTTCACGAGGAGCCGGACCTCCTCGATTACACGTTTTGCGAGTGCGAGAGTGCATAGATTCGGGAGTTTGAGTACCACGAGGGCTTTTACAAGGTCGTGTGGCTTTTGGAAGGCTGCGGGACCTCCCTGCGCGTGTGTGGGAAAATTTTGGAGATACCGGCGAACCGGGCCGGGACGTTTTGGTGCTGAGCTTTTGGGCTGAGCTGTGTTTTCCTGGGCAGCAGTGCCTGGTGTGAGTGAGTACCCAGTTGCTGGGGAAGAAGGAGAAGCAGTTGGGTGTGAGCCCCCCTCTCTGCGACGAGGATGGCTACGGGAGATGCGATGGAATCGCCTGAGGCTGCTGGCCGAGGCGTGAGGCCAGCGACTCCGGTGACTCCGGCGACTTCGCCGATTCGAAGAAGGTCGCCTCCGACGACACCACCCCCATATGGGGATGGTCTGGATGGAAGCGCAGGAGCGGGACCTCCTGCTGGGGTGCGGAAGTATGTGGACTACAAGATGGAGGCTGCACCCTCATGGGACGGAGAGCGTCCTGAGCAAATGTACCGGGAGTATGCGAGGAATCTTCGCTTGTGGTTGATTGAGGCAGAAGAGAGGCTCCCTCAACAGCTCATCGGGAAACGAATTATCGATTCTATTCCCTATGGGAGCCGCCTCTCGGCTCTGGTGGGGCACTTGTCGGTGGAAGAGATAACGGCAGCTGATGGACACAAGCAAGTAATCCAGTGCATCGAGGAAGCTCATGAGTACCTCAAGGTGGCGAAGTTGGAGCAGGCTTTCTCGGCTGCCATCTTTGGTGGCAGGAGGAAGGCCGGCCAGACGATCACGGGATTCCTGGCGACGAAGCGGGCTTCCTTCGCCGAGTTGAAGAAGCAGGGGCTGGACTTGCTGAGCACCGACGCCGGCCAGCATTTGCTGGGGCACCTGGTGATGAGACAGGGTGGCTTCAGCAATGACGAGCAACAGAGGATCCGGGTTTTGACGGACGGCTCGATAGACTTCAGGAAGGTGGAGCCGGCCATCCGGAAGATTTTCGGGGATGCCGTTGATGATCCACCAGGCCCCGGAGGACCTCGTCATCGAACCTTCTGGGAAGGCGAGGAGGAGGACGACTACGAGCAGGACGGCTACGACATGGAGGTGTTCTACGGTGACCTTCCGGTCGAGGCCGACGAGGACATCTTCCAGGACCTTCTTGAAGAGGACGAGGCCGGGGATGTATACATGTGTCTGGACGCACCCCTCCCGAGCATGATGGACGAAGATCAGGCTGTCCAGAATGCCGGGGAGCTCTTGACTTACATCTATGGAGAGACAGCAGACCGCTGGCAACGAAAAGGCAAGGGCAAAGGCAAGAGCAAGTCGAAGAGCAAAGGAAAAGGCAAAGGCAAGGACAAGGGTTCTCCTGGAAAAGGTTTTGGGATCTATGGCGCCGGAAATGCCCTGACCTATCCGGAGCACCGCAGGGCATTGCAGACGGCTCGCATGGATCGAGGTTATAGCCGGCCGCCCTCCTTTCCTTCCCCGGGCCGACCGAGAACCTCGCTCCAGGACATAAAGGCGAGAACAAGATGCCACCAGTGCAAGCAGCTGGGGCACTGGTCCCGTGAATGCCCGCAGCGGCAATCATCTCGACCGAGATCTCCTGTGCCGCAGGCCTCTGGCACTCCGAGTGGTGCACCTCGGGTGTCAACCAATCACTTCTTCCTGGGTGATCCAGTGCAGCTGGAGAATGGAGTGAGCGAGTTTTGTTTTCAGGGCAGCCGTGATGGGCCGCCGATGTTCACGGGATTCACCGAGGCGGAGCCAGCCTTCAAGGATGTGTCACCCGACGAGCCAGGACAACTGGTTCGACCTGAAGTGCTTTCGATGTCCGAGGAATACATGTCGGGTGCGTTCTTGAATTATACTTTTGCTACTTGTCATGAACCTGGGGGTTGCGCTCTAATCGACACTGCGGCACAACATGGTCTTATTGGAGCACAGACTTTGGAGGCCCATGACAGGTTCCTGCAGGACAACTTCCGGTTGAGGATTCAGGTCACAGATGAAGTCGGGGGCACAGTCAAAGGAGTATGCGGTTCTGAGCAGGTCACCAAGGTTGCATATATTCCTATCGGTGTTGGGGGAAAGCCGGGAGTTCTTCGTGTCCAGGTTGTTCCAGGTGTGATTCCATGTTTGGTTCCGGCCTATCTCCTCACGGATGCTGGAGCAATCATAGACATGCCGGGTTCCCGTGTCTGCTACACTCACGTTGGTGCCCTGCAGAACATGACACGTCGTAGCTCTGGTCATATGGAAGTGAACTTGTGCGAGTTCGGAGACAGTTGGAAGATCCCGTCGACTTATGGCTTCATCAAGAGTGAGATTTGGGGAGCGCCCTTTGTCCCCACCGAGCTTTCGCTTGCGGTTTTTGATGGAGCGGGCAAGGCTGCCGCTGTTCCTTCGGCGATGGCGGCGCTTTGTGCTGCGGTTCTTCTTTGTCTTGGGCAACCAGGCGAATGGAGCCTTCGAGCAAATTATTTGTCAGCCTCAACTCCGGCGTGCGAGGAAGCTGGCTGCCAAACGAGAGGTGTTGGAGGCCAAAGCATTGCAACTACGTCGCGAAGAACAAAGCCTGTTGGCAGCGGCCCCAGTGGAACCTCCTCCTCAACGATCACTTCTGGCCGTGGAGGAGCACGTGGAGCAAAGGAGGCCTCGAGTGGAGCATCGGGGCAGGTCGAAGTTTCTGTCACCGGTGCTGAGATCGTCTCCGAGCTGTGCTCATCCGGACAGCACCCATGGCGCGAACGCGGACTGGTGCTGGACCAAGTGCACCCGCTGCTCCATGGTCGAGCAGATCCCCAAGATGCCTCTGAGCCAGATGTCTACTTGGAACAATGTGTTGATCTACCAGGCCCCGGACTACCAAACCCTGGGGAGAAGAAGAAGGAGCTGGCAGAGAAACGGGAGGCACGCCGAAATCCAGGTTCAGTGGTGCCTGGACAGCCGAGGACGCCCGGGACGAGCTCGATGGTGCCACCTGTGAACCTCCAAGGACTACCTCGAGGACTTGCTCCAGGGGAGATTGGGACGCCCATGTCGTTGGGCCACGTCTCCTACGACGACGAGATGGAGATGAGGAGCGAGCGGTCGGAGGACGAATGGAACCTCTGGAAACGGGAGGCGATGACGGCACCTGGGCCTCCTGTGGACCCTCCTTCGCTGATGCAGAAGTGTCCTCATTGCCAGTTTGGGGGTCTTCATCTGATGTTGTGTCCGGAGGAAGACAGGGTGATCTGGCGTTGCAGCGGAGGACAGACGGGATGCCCGTTTCTATGGCCCGACTACAACAACCGAGTGGTCCTGGCGACGGGGATCAAGCTATGTGTGACGTGTCACCGCGGGACCCTGAAGAAGATCGTGCGACAAGGCAGGGATGCCTACCAATGCCCTCTGTGCCAGGACTTCACTCTGTTGTCGGAGTGGGCACAGGTGTTTCAGGAGCTTCAGGACAAGGGCGGATACAACCCGGTGCTCACGCACGACAGGCCGACCTGATGGCTATCAATGACGGCTTCCGTTTTCTTGGATGGATGTCTGAGGACGAGATGAAGAACAAGATGGCGGCTGTTTGTGGTTTAGTACCGTCGATCGACTTGAGCTGTTCTGCGGTTTTCTCGTTTTCGGGAACAGTGGTGCCGTCTCAGGTACCAGTGCGGTGCCGGTGCCCATTGGGTCCCCGGATCATTGCGGCTACATCGGCCGCGGGCCAGTGGAACCTGTTGCAGATTGACAGGACTGGCAACGATGAGTATGACCTCGCGGTCCCCTCCTCCGTCTTCGTGATCCAGAGTTTCGAGGACGACTTTCTCCAGTATACCCGGGACCAGGAGTTTGAACCGATCGAGGTTACGATGGACAAGATGACAAAGAAGAAACTCAATGGATCCCTCGACAAGGTCCTCAGGGATGTGGAGCAGTATTTTGAACTATGGGAGGAGGAATGTTCGGGTGAACTACGCGAGTCAACGGTACTGGAAGTTGAAATTGCCATTCCCGCCACATCGTCGGTGCAACCTGTACCTCTAGACCCGTCTCGAGTGGTGAATTTGGAGCTGGACGATGACGATCTACGTGCAAGACAACGAGTTCGGTGTCTACCAATGGATCTCGAGATGACGTCTTTGTGCCACGACCTTCGGGACTTCGGGGTGTCAGGGGAAGCCTGGCGTGATTTTCATGGCCAGTCGATGTTCATCAGTCTTCACCCCAAACGTGCTCTATTACCACAAGCTGGGCCTGCCGGCCGAACTCTTCGATGGACTGCAGTGATGGTTCGACCAGGAACATGGAGGTGGATTGAAAATGGAGCATGTGGTTCATGGCACAAAGAGGCACGGCGACACTTGGCGGTGGCGGTGATTTACCGTTGGCCGGAGGTGGAGGAGGTCTATGCCACCTCGTTTGATCTGTCCGACCGCGAGAAGAATGATGTACTTCGATGTCACGTGAATCTTGGTCACCCGGGCACACGAGAGTTCGTGCGCCTCTTGCGGGCCGCGGGCTCGAGAAATGATGTGGTTCAGTATGTTTTGCGGGAGTTTCAGTGCCCTGGATGTGTGAAAGAACGTCGACCTCCAACGAGACTTCCTGCAGCGACCCCACGCACCTACGATTTTAACGTCGTCGTGGGGGTGGACCTCCTTTTCGTACATGGCCTTGGATCCCGAGCAGAACATCCGGTTATCAACATCACGTGTCTCGGGACCTTGTATAGCACTTTTGGAGTGATCGACCCGCTGCAGCGGTCTGCCCATGTGACATGGATGGCCTTCGCTCGTCTCTGGCTGAGGGTCTTTGGAGCCCCGCAGTACTTGATTTTTGACGAGGGCAGAGAGTTTACTGCTTCGACCTTTCAGGACGGGCTTGAGGATTATTCCGTTGGAGGTGGCCAGGAATGCGCCTTTCACCAACGGTGTCGTTGAAAGGCGTGGTGGCTTGTTCAAGGAGGTGGCTTGTTCAAGGAGGTGTACTATCGCACCCGAGAACTCGTTCAACCTACCAGCTTTGAGGAGGTGGAGATCATGGTCTTTGAGGTGAGCTGGAGTTTGCAGACTTTGGTCAACCAGAGCGGATACTCACCAGCTCAGCGAGTTCTTGGAAAGCAGCCGAGTTTGGCTTTGGATACGTTGTCAGACCAGAGGGAGTACCACCTGTCAACCACCCAGGATGCCGCCTGGACCAGGGCCCATGAAATCAGGACTGCAGCCTGAGCCGCCTTGATTCAGGTGGATGCCAAGGCAAGGCTAGCCCGGGCACGACTTGCACGGCCTCGCCGAGAGATCGAGAACCTCAGGTTTGTGGAGGGCGAGCCAGTGCTAGTGTGGCGGATCGGCAGGAGAGGTTCGACTGCCAAAGTGGGCCCATGCTATGTGATCTTCCAGGATGGACATACGATCTGGGTGACCCGCAGGGGTGAGATCTGGAAGTGTCATGTAAGCCAGGTTTTCAAGATGGCGGTGGCCGACCAGGCCGGACTTGAGGCAATTCCCGCTGAGCTTCTCGACGCCAAGGCCAGATTGCGCTATGATAGCGAGAAGATGCAGTTTGTTGATGTGGCCAGCGAGGCAATGGGATGTGCAGAAAACCGGGAGTCCAAGGGACCCCCTGATGGACCAGTCAAGGAGGAGCCTCAAGATGATCAACGACTACCCACAGAAATCCCAGTTCCAGATCCACGGCTTGATGTCGAGCCAGAGGTCTATTCACCAGACACACCAGATTGGCCACCGGAAGAACGTGATTCACTACCAGCTCTTCGAGGTGAAAACGTGGTAGGTTCAGGACCAGAATCAATGCCTGAGCATCAAGATGATCAACGACTACCCGCAGAAATCCCAGTTCCAGATCCCGTGGTCATTAATATTGATGATTCTAGCTCGTCATCTGGGGGGTCCACCATGCGACAAGCGCCACCAGGTTCAGTGTCCTCGGGGTCGTCATCTTCAACCAGTTCCAGTGTATCGTCGTCAAGTAGTTCAACACCACGAGCTCCCCAAGGACAAGCGGAGTGGCCTCCTCATGGGAGTGGGACTGAGTTGCGCAAGTGGTCGCGTTTTGACAAGTCACCAACGAGGTTCAGAACCTCAAATAGTTCGGGACCGATGTGGTCAGATGTTCTCCAACGTGTGAGTATTGACAACGACTCTGGGAAGGTCATCAAGAGAGAGAATTTCTCAGGCAACGAATCTTCTCGCGACCTTCATCGACTGTTGCCTGTGAAGGTTCGATCACTGCGGACAGTGCTGGTATACAAAAGGGTTCGTGGTCATCCTGACCCTGGTGAACCTCTGGACTGCCCTGACCGACCGGAGTTGGATGATGAGCACGTGCCAGCGGAGGATGCGCGTCTGTTTGACCAACGGGTGAAGCGGTCGCTGGACGATGTGGGTGGCAAAGCATCTTCGTCTCGGACTCCGATGAGAAAGTCTCGGATCTTTGGTGCTTGGGCCGCCGATACGGTGACGGAGTACGGTGACAAGTCAAGGTGCCCAGCGATTACCACTCCTCGGGATATGCAGCTTTTCTACAAGCTCGAGTCCGGAGACATTGTGTACTATGACGGGGAGATCCACGGATCGTTTGTGGCGCTCACAAAGCAGTCCGGCAAGGAGCTGAACGAGAAGAATTTCACTGCCGAGGAGGTGAGGATGTTTAACGAGGCTAAGAAGTTGGAGATTGGCAACCTTGCCAACGGCAACGCGATCAAGTTCATCCGGGATCGCGCTGAGGTGGAAAGAATCCGGAGGGAGCTGGGACATCGCATTATGCCATCGCGTTTTGTCCTCACCAAGAAGTCGCAGGAGCTAGGCGAGGGTTGGAAAGCGAAAGCACGATGGATTTTGCTGGGGCATCGCGACCCAGACGTGATGGAGCTTGAGCGTTTCAGTCCGACCCCGGCAACGACGACGGTCTACCTCGTGTTTCAGCTGCTGTCGTCGATGCGCTACCGCCTCTACATCATGGACGTCACCTCAGCTTTCGGACAGAGTGATCCGGAGACGAGAAAACAAGGACCTCTGTACGCCTCACTTCCCCGTTCAGGGATTCCGGATGAAGAGGACTGGGTTATCATCGAGGTTCTCACGGCGACCTACGGATTGGTGAATGCGCCCTCGGCGTGGAGAAAGACTGTGGTCCGTGTGTTGTTGTCGCTGTCGTACAAGGAATCGGTGTTTGACCGATGTCTTTATTACCTCCCGTACAACCAGGAGGAGATGGCTACCGATGGTCAACGTGGCTGCGCCGGCATCGTCTTGTTGGACGTAGACGATTTCGCGCAAGGAGGAAATGAGAGGCATCATCAACTGATGCAGCAACTCCGATGCCTCTTCGGAAGCCCCTGGGAGTACCTCGGACGAACCATTCGTCAGGATGAGACCTTCGAAGTCCGGGTGGACATGCAGAGGTACATAGAGGAGAAACTACGGCCTATTGTTCTGCCCAGGGAGAAGTTGCGACAAGGCGACGATGCCCCGTTGGATGAGAAGGAGGTGACGATGTTGAGGGGTGCTGGCGGTTCCATGTGGGTAGGGAAGGAGTGTCGGCCAGATGTCGGTGCCGCCTGTGCCATGGCAATGTCGTGGGGAAAGGACGGGCCGACGGTGCGCCACGTGAAGGCTGTGAACAAGACGATCAACGAGCTGAAGAAGACGTCGTCGGTCTACCTCAGGATCCTCCCGATCGACCTCAAGGAGGGTATATGGATGTCCATCTCGGACGCCTCAGTTGCGAACGATGACGAGAAGTCCCAGGGCGGTTTCTTGATCGCCTTCGCCAACCGTGAGATCAAGAAGGGTGGACTTCAAGAGTTCAGTATCAACTCCTGGAAAAGTCATCGTGTGAGAAGGGTTGTGAAAGCTTCACTCGGAAGCGAAGCCCTGGCGATGGATGATGGCCTCGCCGAGTTGGAGTGGGTGAAGGCAATGTTCACCGAGGCCGTCATCCCCAACTCCACGGTGTCAGATGGCACCCGTTTCGGCTGTGACGAGTCTGTAGCGGTTGTGAGGCAGCTGAGCCCCGGAGATCCCACCATTTTGGTGACGGACGCCCGTGCTTTGTATGATTTGTTTCATCGTAGGAGTGGCGCAGCTGGCTTGTGCAGGAGGGCTCAGATAGATGTATCTGTCATGGCCTCGTCGGCGAAAGCGTTGCTCGCAGAAGTTCATTGGCTGCCTGGGATGTACATGCTGGCGGACTGCCTCACGAAGAGGTTAGGCAATGCAACCCTGATGCGCCGAGTCATGGCTCTCGGTAAGTACTCCATCAAGAATGATGGGTTGCAACAGCTGATCAACCTGGATGCTCCCCCTGATGGATGTGATTCTAAGGACTTGTTGCCCAG